GTAATATTTCAATATCTAGAAACTTCTTATTCAAAAATTGGTTGGCAATATTCTTCACTTGACGTTATTCTATCCAGTCAACCCCTATTCCATTCTTCTTCTTCTTCTTCTTTTAGTTACTAGTGGATCCCCTATTCCATTAATGTGTAACATGACATATTGTCTCTGGTTTTTTCAACGAGAATGAGCGGTATAAAAATATGTTTTTTATATAGAGTCATAACTCATGAAGATAATGCGTGCGCGTTGTCCAATCTAGTGCAAGTTGTATTTTGTAATATAAATTTAGAAGTATACGTTTTATCTAATCTGTTCCTAACCTACGTATTTGGGTAGGTCATGTTTCATTGTTTTATGATTTCACGTAATTTTTCGATAATTTCCTATACGTAATATTAATGAGTCATCTAACTTTTGCATCAGTTCTTTGAATGTAGACGAAGAAAGTAAATTACTACCCTACACAAAGTAACTTTGAGATAATTAAAAATGTATGCAAGTTACTAACTTTTTCGTATTACACAGATTTTGTGGAATCTACTAATATCGTTAATACAATGTGATTTTGTTTTCGAGTGATGTTTGCTTCAGCTAGTCATAAAATATTCTTAAAATATATTAAGAAATGTAAAAAGAAGACCTTGATGCGATAAAATTTGTGTAAACACGCGAGTTTGTGCGGCGCGGAATAGGTATATATTCATAATCACTCGCTAGCGGGTCGTCGACCGTGTGCCCGTGACTTCACCTTCGAGTCTCGTAGATAATGGCAATTCGACAACACGGCGGCGGCGCGCAACTGTGCCAAAGTTAGGGTAGGCCCCGCCCGTGTCGCTTCAATACACTAATGACATACGGACCACATAGGCATAAAAAATTATAATAATACTAGCTGTCGTCCGCGACTCCGTCCGCGTGGATATATAAAAAAACTAAAAATAAAAAAATGAATAAATATCCTATGTCCGTCTCCTGGCTCTAAGCTACCTCCTCAACAATTTTCAGCCATATCGGTAAAGCCGTTCTTGAGTTATAAATATTGTAACTAACACGACTTTCTTATATATATATATATATATAGATTTATAGACTTTCTCATATAATTATAATGCATGTGTCATGATGCTATATGGTTTTTAAAGTCATGATTTTAATCAGACTATAAATGTTTGAAAAAAAATTAAATGATTAAAATAGGTAATCATTTTAAATTAGACAATTGTATAAAGAATTTATATTAAGTAAATAAATAAATTACTTTAAATATTGAATTAATGAAAAACACGTAAAGCCTAATTTAATTTCAACGCTAAGCCTGTTGCTACGCGCATTAAATCCAACCTTGAGACTTGAAGCATCATAAAGCATGTCTGTAAAGATAAATCAATGGCATATGTATTGTAATAAAATTTAGTTTCCATGAAACAAAATGGCGTCGTTTCATATTGGCCTTGATCGGTATCCGCTTACCGAATTTCACGCAAGCGCATTAACTTGTGTTGGCGTAGGACCCCAGGTAGAGCGTGTTCAAGTAATTAATTATATAAAAAAAAACTGTATTACTAAAACCTTTTTAAAGGATATAAAAACTTCAATACGTAGCATTATCGTAGAAGTGGTAATGTAACCGTAGCGATCGTAACCCTAAAGGACGAAAGGTTTGTAACAAATTTTTACTTAACGCCTTTTTATTGTTTTAATTGATTTTTATAATATTACTTGGCTAAAGCAATTGCTTAAAATGATGTAATATTACAAATATGTCTAAAATGTAGTTAAATACTAAATATTAATATTTTATTAACTACATGTTCGAATTGTTGTAAACTATTTTTAAAAACTGATAATTCATTAGATCACTTTCGATTTCGCTGAGAATTTGCAGACGCTAAGAAACAAGATGGCGTCGTATTTCGGGTGGCCTTGAGCGCTATCCGTTTAGGAAATTACACGCGCACCTAACAGCGCTTGCGTTGTCGTAGGCCCACAACACTATGTGTACAGATGCTATCGCGGTACACTGTTTCATTTAGTAATGTTTATGTTTTGGCGCCAACATGGCGACGTGTTTTTCGGTGACCTTGAAGTCTAGATGTTTCGGCCAGATTACGTTATATTAATTCCGTTGTATAGCATATTATATTTTATTTAAAAGTACAATTCTTTTTAATATGTTATTTTTTATTGCATTGTAAAATCAACTTATTGTAGCGGTGATAGAGTTTCTATTTGATTTGATTAAGTTGACAACATTACCAAGCAGAGTCTCATAACCGTTGTAATTATACACATACTACATAATATAAAACACATCTGTCCACTAATGTTAGGTATAGATGAAAGATTTTTTTTTAAGTTTGTGGTTAAAAGTGCACACCGGATCGAATTTGGGATAGTCCGCGTCATTTCTAAATGGCCAAAAGTTCGCGATAATGAATAAAAACCGCGAAAATATCAAACAACAATATGTAATAATAGTATTATTTGCCATTTGGATTTGCATACGAATAATTTATAATTCACTTATTATAGTTCTCTATAAAAAAAACTCGGTTGAATTGCGTCACTACACATTTTATCGGAAAGCCGGGCCAATGTCAAGGGGGCATTGAACCCGCATCCTTGAAGTATGCAGATATCGTAGATAAACATGCATTTTTTTTTGTTTTTCATCATCGTTGTTAGGTATATCTTTACTTATCGCGAATGCATTTTCAATAATAAAACATTTAATGCAATTTTTTATTTTAATTTTGACATTTATACATTGGAACTTTAATTTAAAAGCATTGTATGGAATGTTCTACGTTTTTAAATGTAAAATAACTGTAAAGAACACACCGTTTATTAGATAAGACCTTACTGAGCAATGTAGGTCACGAGGTCTTAAAAAATGAGATTATAATTTATCCCCTGTTTATGTATTTAGCCATTATATATTCTGTCACGAAATTGGGACGTGTTTGTTTTCATTCAAATTATTTTACGTTTCAAAGAAGTTGATATTTTAGTGTTGTTTTGGATTTACCTAATGGTATTTGTTATTGGTAAAGAGGTTTAGTTCAGAATATGTAGTACTGCTTATACTAGCAAGGCCCTTTTAAAATCATAGATAGCTTTTTTTATTTTAAATTCGTTTTTTAAAACCAATTGTAAAATTAGAAACAGCGCCATCTATGTTCAATCATTAACATGACGTTCTTACTCAAGGATGTACAAAATGTTTTTAGCGGGTTTCAGTTACGCATTATTCGAACATAAAATAAACATAATACGAAACATGTTGTCTAGCTGTGAGTTCTTTGAGTCCTCTGCCTTATGTATTAAACATAATATTATATCTTATTATTTTTAAAACTTATTAATCAAATTACGATTGCTTCTTCAGTGGGAACGCGAATGGTAAGCTTACTTAAGTGATTTATAAAATATAAACGGATTATTTTGTATTTGTACGTATTCAAACGTATTGTAATATTTGACTGTCTTCGGCGCTTTGAAATGTAATTGGTTTATAACTTTGACCGTGTTATATTATTTTAATTTTACCGCGGTTAATGTTTCATATTATGTCTAAATAGAAACAGTGCTTTATCAGTTGAAACTATTCGATTCTTTCTTGTTATAGGATCCGAAGTTAAGATTCATGGGACTACGTTCTAATTTTAACGAGTCGATTCACATTGCTATTGGAACATTTCGTAGGATTTGTTTGTTTGTCATAGCTTTACTAAAGAAAGTACTGTTATTAGTTACTTTTGTAAATAAGCCGGGCCAATGTTCCGGTTTAAAGATCTTTATTTACTCATAAAAAACACAAAGTTTCGCTTACAATGAGTATAAATGTAAAATATAATATAAGGGCTTACGGGCTAATACAAAATATAGTAACAATATATAAAATTAGTATAAATCAAAAACATACCTTAGTACGTACAACTATAAGAAGTTAAATTGAACAGAAATTATATCTAGATATAATATTGAGAATAGATTATGACATTACAGCGATGAGATATGATTTAAGTTTGTTTTTAAAAAACTTTAACACTTTCACAGTTCTTTATCTCGTCTGGCAGATTATTAAACATTTGAACGCCTTCAAACAATACAGTTTTATTTCCATAGTTAGTACGCGGAGTAATTAATGTTAATTTGTGTTTATTGCGAAAATTATGTTTGTTATCCCTCTTTTCTATTTTAATGTTAGATTTAATTTTATTATTTGTTATATTCATTATAAGAGTACAAGTTTTAAATTTATATATCTGGGCAATATTAAATAATTTTGTCATGTTATATATTTCATTAGTTGGAGTTCGGTAATCGAAATGATATAATACTTTTATAATTTTATTCTGTGTTCTTTGTAATGACATTAGATAAGTTGACGCAGCTGATCCCCAGATTTCTATTAAGTACTCAATATGCGGTTTTACTAAAGAATTATATATAAGTGCTTTAACCTTCTTTGGAATACAATGGGCTACTTTGTAAAGAGCTCCTAGGACTGCCTTTAATTTTGACTTGACCGTTTCTATATGCGGCTTCCATGTTAGTTTGTCGTCTACTACTAACCCTAAATACTTTTCTTCACATGATCTTTGAAGAGTATCATTATTTATTTTGGGGGTAGCGAAATCTGGTATAGGCTTATTCTTTGCTGTTAATATTATAAATGAAGTTTTCTTTATATTGATTGTTAACAAATTATTTAGGAACCATTCATTAAGTCTGTCTAAATCGTTTTGAGCATTATTTAATAGAGTATCGAGAGAATTACCAAAGTAGAATAGACATGTGTCATCCGCATATAGCGTAAGATGACCTGTGAGACCTATTGTATTAATATTATTTACGTAAATTAGAAACAACAATGGACCCAATATTGATGTTAAGTTATGTTAAGTTTTTCGCTTTAACAAAGTAAACCTTATTTTGTAAGTGATAGAGTTGAATTTACGTTAAACAATTAGAATGTAGAGCACTCACGGTTGCAGGTGCAGATGATGTCCGCGGCGGGGGGCGAGCCGATGCTGCGCCGCGTCAAGCAGGAGGCCGAGCCGCCGCCCCAGTACTCGCCCGACCCACACACCGATCACCCGCTGCACCGCAGCGCGCATATGGTCCACGCGCCACAGGTAATCAAGACGTCACTCCATCTACCCACGTAATTAAAATTGTGTCGATATCGCGACTAGATTAGGTACAAAAGACTCTATCACGCGGTGCTTAGGTCCTGCCCGGTTGCGGGTCAAGTGACCGCCACGAGCTGTAAATACCAAAGAACCCGGATTCTTTTGAAGCTCATGACTCGGTCGGACACGTATAGATAGTGATCCAATCAACATAGGTCTATCATTGATCCATCTCACGCCGTGTCTGAATACAAACTGCGCGACACGTACGGATGCAGTTGCAGCGTCTATCTCTGAAAATCAATAACTAGGTTACAAGAACGTACTAGTGCACCGGATTTAGGACCTAGTTTCGTTCCGGACATCCTAGATTACGCTTCTGTAAGTTTTATAGTTTTTTAAATAGTTTTCTTTTGTTTTCATATTACTGTGTTGATTACTAAGGTGTATTTTTTCACTTATTGTTTTTAAATATAATTTTTTATTATACATGTGGTTAAAATTACTGTTATCACAAGCAATATAACTAATTTCTATGTAATTACTAGTAGGTTAATAACTTATAAGTCGCGTGTGATAGTTGAAAACATATAATAAAATTGCAATTATGGGCGTAATTAATTAAAAATGAAACGAGACATAAGCTGTCGCCCGCACGGTATCAAAAATGTAGTAAGTAGCCTATTTGTTCTACCAGAATATGTCCTACATAGTACAAACAAAATTTCAGCAAATTTCATGCAATACGTATTCCGCTGCGAAGATAGTTACTTATATAAGAAATTGCAGGATATTCTTCATAAAGACTTGAAGACAAGAAAAATAGACGCTTTTAACTGTGATAAATGTTGTAACAGCACGTTGTATACAAAGAGAGTATATAAGCTACCTCACTATTATTACTATGTTTATTTGATAACATACTTGAAAATGTCCTATACAATTTGACTACTTTTGTATGTCACGTAGCGATAACGTCGTAGAGTTATTTTGAGTTGCGTAGTATGCTACGTTTACGCTACGACGCATCTACGAACGATTGTAATAATCCGCTGCTTTACTCGCGTAATGTTAACTTAATTATATTAGTTTATGGTTAATGCTGTTTTTATCCGGGATTACATTAATCTTACAATGTTATGTATTGATCTATATTCGAACTGAAAGTCTACATTTTAAACATAAATTGTGTTAATAATATTCATGCATAGTTCTGGTGTCTTAAAATTTTAGTTTAATCGGCGTAGTGATTTTAAATGAAATTAATTATGCTAACAATACATTCTTTTATTTATAAATATAATAAGAATTTCTTTTATTTATTTATGTAACCACTGGTCTGTGTTCTTTTGAGATTTTGATACTCTATATTTCGTAGGTGTATTTTTTTCAATTTATCAAATAGATTTTATATAATCTGTAACCAAATTACAGTTTTCCACCATCCAACAGCTGGAACCAAAGGAGGAAGCGAAGTTCTGCGTGTCCCCGGAGAGCGGTGCGGGCGGCAACGCCAGCCCTGAACAGCAGCACTGCTCATCGACGACAGCCGCTGCGGCTGCGCGCGACGAGGACGCACCACGACGCTTCTGTCTCGTGTGCGGGGACGTCGCGTCAGGCTTCCACTACGGTGTTGCCAGCTGTGAAGCGTGCAAGGCTTTCTTTAAGCGAACCATACAGGTTAGAATTTGAGTAACGTTGTCATTGAGGTGTACACTGTCGATAGTTTGGATGTAATATCAGACTTTCATTTTAAGTACACCAGTAAACTGATAAGATAAGTAGCCAGTGAGGAAGAAGAGAATTTAGAAACAACGTTTGATTAAGTGTGAGTTTGTTTGAAATATCCCAAAACGCTTTTGATATTATTGATCCTAAAAGCGGTGAGATCCGAGGCTCCGGTGTGATGAAACGATATTAGTGGATGCATCATCATCGAATAAAAGAGCTTCGTGAATTCACAGATGTTAAATTACCAGGGGAACATAGACTACACGTGCCCGGCGTCCAACGAGTGCGAGATCAACAAGCGGCGGCGCAAGGCGTGCCAGGCGTGCCGCTTCCGCAAGTGTCTCAGCACCGGCATGCTGCGCGAGGGCGTGCGCCTCGACCGCGTGCGCGGCGGCCGGCAGAAGTACCGCCGCGCGCCCGACATGCCGCCGCAAACCAACAAGCCGCATATCGACGACATCAAGGTCGCTTATCACCTCACATCTTGCCTCTCTCTTTTCTCTATAACTTTGTCTTATCTATATGTATCGTGTTCCAGATCCTGGAGGCGCTGTCCTCGTACGAGCCGGAGCTGCTGAGCTGCGGCGCCGCGCCTGCGGGTGTAACGGACCCCGCGGCGCGCACATTGGCCCTGCTGGCGGATCTATACGACCGCGAGCTCGTCGGCGTCATCGGCTGGGCCAAACAGATACCCGGCTTCACTGAACTCCAGCTCAATGACCAGGTATACGTCTTTTCAGACATCTTGCCGGCTTAAGGTCATATGCGTGCTCACCTGCGGTCCCTAAGTCTCCGTTACGCCTAATATTCTGTTTTGAACAACGAGTCGTGCGATGTTTAGAGCCGCCATGATGTATAACAATCTCCATAGATTCAGTCACCAACACTTATATCTTGGTCCGCATTTACGTTTCAAGAGATCTACAAAGAGCTTGGAATAGATTTATGGGTCCAACTGACTAGTTAAATACGGTTTGTTGCTAATGTGTGTTGTATGTGCGTGTGTCAGATGCGGCTGCTGCAGAGCACGTGGGCGGAGATGCTGAGCCTGATGGTGGCGTACCGCTCCCTGCCCGCAGCCGCCGCGCCCGCGCCCCCCTCGCCCGGCCCCCTGCGTCTGCGCTTCGCACACGACCTCACGCTCGACGAGCACACAGCGCGCGACATCGGCGCCATTGACCTCTACCTACAGGTACATAACACTTATACACCTCACTGACACAGGGTCGGCGTCGGGGTAGAGTGCGGACGCCGCCCAGGGCGCTGGACTGAAAGGGGCGTCACAGAATTTCCAATATCTTCCCAAAGGCACATTAAAATAAATGGCAATATAAAAATTCCGGCCAGGGCGCCAGTGCAAATAAAACCTGTCGGTGGTGCCGGGTGGACCAGGAGTGGAGCAATGTGCGCTAACTTTACAAATTTTCTCTTTGTCTACCCTTGGTTTTATAAGCCCAATATCTCTATATAAAACGTATCGTCATCCCTGTCATTATCTTTATCAAAAGAAAACAAAATATGTCCTTAACAGGGGTTTTGGCTTTGGAAACCCACAGTAATTGATTCAAAATAATATAATGCATGTTGTATGTGCGATGTTATCAGATCAGCGGCGTGGCGCGGCGGCTGGAGCGGCTGGGTGCGCAGCGCGAGGAGTGCTACCTGCTGAAGGCGCTGGTGCTCGCCAACTCGGAGGCGCGGCTGGACGAGCACGCCGCACAGCGACGCTTCCGTGACGCCATACTCGCCGCACTCAATGACGCTGTCAACGCGCTCAGGTACTGCCTCTCATCTCTATAAATACTTACATCTCTTGGTAATTATTGCTCATCATCGACTCATGGATCCGCAGTGAAGAGCTCCGAGCCTAAGTTATGGGTGACTAGGCCATAGTCAACCACGCTAGCACAGTGCGGGTTGACTTCACACATATCTTCGAATCTCTTCTCAGGTTATGCAGGTTGACTTACGATGTTTTCCTTCACCTTAAGAATATTTTATTAAATAAAAGTCAACTGGTTATCAGAATGATATAGGTCGATCTCCCACGGTCTCTTGTACTATGTGCGTTTTCTGCACATATTATTGCTGAAAAAAAAATCATTGTACAGGCCGTACAACGCGAACACAGCACTGCAGCAGCTGTTGCTGGCGCTGCCCGCACTGCGGCACGCTGATGTAGCCGTGCGTCGCTTCTGGGCGTGCGTACATCGTGATCGACGCACTCACATGAACAAACTCTTTGTCGAAATGCTGGAGGCCTGTCTGCGGTAGGTCGCCGCCGAGACATCACGGCTCTACTTATATTGGTCCTCACCAAGTAGGTCTCGCGGTTGGAACCTGAACAAACAGTGATATGGGAATTAAGAATTCTTGTAATTACTAGATGTGACTTTGCAGCGAGAGATAGTGTACGGACAAGTTTGAATAAGGTTGTGTTATCGATTTGTTCATCAAATGCTTGCTCGAAACTTCATTTTTAGTCTGTATAGCAGTTAGTCGATTTGACGTTTATTTTTTTTTTAACTTACCCGTAGCTTTTTAATGTAAATACGTTTCGCTTTGGGTTTAAGCACCGTTGTGGTGTATGGTGGCAGGCGGGGCCGCGACATTTTTCATCACAGTAACATATAATTTTAGTAATTCTTTCGTAGTTTTTTTTGCATTTAACGTTTCCCGAAGTATAAAGTTTCGAGTTGTGTGTGTTTGTTGTGTATTATATATTTATATGTATATTTAGTCTGTGGTTATTGTGGCTGTGAAGTGGCGGGAAGCGTGAAGTTTGATATTTGAGTTGACGTTTCTTATTTTAGGTTATGTTTTGGTATGATCGATAAATATCGTTTAGTTGGATGTTTTAGTTTTATGAATTTCTTTAACACAATATTTTAATTTTTTACTCAATAATTTTTCATTTGAATGCATTATTAATTTTTCCATTACTGAAAGCAATCTTGAGTTTTAATAATTTTTTTTCTTTTTAAAATCGAACACAATTTTTTTTTGGATTTTTGGAAATCCTGTCGCGTCCCCGCGCCTTAAATGTACAAAATGGACGAACCTAGTACAAAACTTGTTGCTATTTTTGTAATAAAAAATGTGTAGTTTTAACTTTCCGTTATATCGTTCACAAATGTGAAAATACCTCAATAATAAAAATATAAATCTAATTAGTAATAACACATTTAAAATATATAATTGTTTAAAAAACATTATAAATATATAAAAATTTGTAAGACATTTTCAAATTTTATTATGTACAGAACATATGCAATAGATTAAAAAATAAATTATTTCTACAACGAATTAAATATTATTTATCCTGGCAACACAATACTGCCACAACAATGAAACACCTACCTCTTACGAAAACACTAAAGTAACAAGTATATATAATACGAGAATGAATTATAAAAATGTACTGTTTCCTGATCAATTTAATTATAAAAGATAAATTTATTTTGTATTACTGAGTAAATAAATCGAGTTTTCAAAATATACGAAATAAAAAAAAAAATTAAATGAAACTTCAACCATAGTCTTCTATCCATAAATATAAATTTGATTTACAATGCGGTTTTTGATCTCATTACGAAAAAAGATTGACTATAACCTGTGCCACAATGATTTGGGCTTCGATAACATATCCCAGTCTTTAAAATTTACGCGTATTAATATTTTTAACACTATTCCACTATATGTAGTTTAATATAGGTATTGTTCATTAATCACGTGAAACTAAAAGGGTTGAGAGTAATTCTAATAAAATCACAAAACATCACGGTAAGGGGCTAAAATATCACGTGTATTTATTTTCTGAATGATGACGTACGTGTAATGGAACAATGTGATGTAAGTATAAAACCTCACCACATATCACCAGAACCGGTAAAAAAGTTGCTAAAATATCACGTGAATAATGGAACATCCTATATATAAAACGCTGAATCACTACAGATTTCGTATAACGAAATAGTGTTACTTTGACTCCAATACAGTGGCACTTGAATTAATATGTCTCTGTTTTGTCAAAAACAGTTGACACCTAAGAGAATCGTAACATTGTAAAATAGATGTATAAACTATAAAAAAATACGAAGCCTACCCCATAGATAACTCAAAAACTACACGTACCTTTAGGCAGAAAATCCGATACTGTGCCGGTGTACTGGCACAACACTAGTCTTACTAAAATGTCGACGTTTATATCCCCTCACTAATCAATCTGACACTTGACTTGATAACGAAATCGCGTCATTCACGCCAAATCCTAACAAATAATGTTTAAAACTACTTTAAAAAATTGTACTATATGTTGAAAAGAGTTTTAAAAAAAAAATAATGCCCCTTTTAGATTATCAGCCGTTTTTCGGTTCCTTTTACAAAACAAAGATATAGCGGCGGTATTTCCAAACCGCAACGACTTAGGGTCCTTCAAGAAGTGAGCGTTTCACGATCACAAAGCCGGCAATGCATCTGCGGTTCCTTTGGTATTGCTGATGTTCATGGGCGTTGTTGAACTCGGTGTTCCCGCTGGTCGTTTGCTCCCTTTTGTTATATAAAAAATGTATTTGTGCCACTGTAAGGAAATTCTATGGTTAGGCTTTATAATATTAAAACATATAAAATGCAAAGCATTTTTAATCTGTGGAATAGTATTATGCATCATATATACCTCACCTCTGTTACCAATGCACGCAACGCAACAAACGTTTATAAATATCGCCCGTTATATACCTATTTATATAATCCTAAGATAAATTATATGCATTTTGTAAATAATTATACATCATGTTTTATACGTGGGTCGGTTTTTACTTTTAAATTATACAAATTATGTTTACACAGACAGTGTTTTTTTTACACTTAATTGAGCGAACTTATTATACTTAATGTTATGTGAATGATATTTTTCAACTTTTTTTTCCATAACTTGACACATATTGTCGTAATCTCACTCTGGTGATGACGGATAAATATGTTTTAATACTTCGGCAGTCTTTTATATTGTAAACATAATTTTAATGAGTTAATATGGCGCGAAAAGCCTAACTTTTTTTCATGGCAAAGGTAACGGACACCACGTTATCTTATTTTTAACATACTAGTTGATCCGACGAACTCTGTTCCGCGGAGGAGGTAACATAGAGCTACAGTAGAACGTACATCCGTATACCCAGGAACCGCATCTCTTTGCTTCCGTCTTTGAAAATTTTTCGATGGAGCATTCCAATTATAACTTAATAAATTCGTAAAAAAAATGAATAAATAGTATCCTATGTCCGTCTCCTGGCTCTAAGCTACCTCCTCACTAATTTTCAGCCATATCGGTAAATTCGTTCTTGAGTTATAAATATTGTAATTAAAACGACTTTCTTTTATATATATCTTATATATAAAATTCACGTGTCACAATTTTCGTTACCATCTCCGAAACGGCTTGACCGATTCTCATGAAATTTTGTAAGCATATTGAGTAGGTCTGAGAATCGGCCAACATCTATTTTTAATGCCGCGCGGACGGAGTCGCGGGCGACAGCTAGTAGATTTATAAACTTTCTCATATGATAAACAATTTTCAGGCATATCGGTAAAGCCGTTCTTGAGTTATAAATAATGTAACTAACACGACTTTTTTATATATATATATATATATATAGATTATTTTTTGGCAGTAATTATGTAAGTATATTAAAAACAATTACTTATAGTAATTTCCAATGAAATGCGTTTTTTTAGGTTATACTTATGTTAATAATTCATGATTATTAATAGTTTTTATTTTGTGTAACGTAATATTGTAGTGCGGGCGGGGGATGTCTCAGGCGTGATGTGCCAGATTAGATGTTAAGTGTTTATATTTGTTGTTACAAGATGGCGAACTATTTTGGCGGTAAAATTTGTTTCCTATACATATAATTTAGTAAATAAAATTCAGGATAAAATCGATATTTAGTTAGTTCCTATGATTCTGTTATTGAAAATTACGTTTTTCCTTATATACTTTTATTGAAAAGGAAACTGAAAAAAAAACAATTGTAAAATATATGTGATTTGTAAAGAGAATCTATGTTATATTGAAGTTTGTAAGCATTAATGTGTAGTTTGTAAATTTGTGATGATATGCGTTAGTTAGTGGTAGTAATTTGTACCCTTTAGCGTTTTGACATCAAAACATGTTGTACAACCTGACGCTGTGTCTTATTTTAATGTAAACTCGTACCTTCATTTGTTTATACAATGTTATTTATAATTATGTCGACCGGTCCTTAAGATATGTAAATCAAATAAAAATCTGAAAAAAAAATTGTATTTTTATTCATAAAAAAAAATCTCCTAAAGATGTAAGCCAAGCCAAAGTGAGTAATAAATCAAAATTCTTTTTAATTTAAATGTTATAATTATTGCCTTAAACACTATATACAAATAGTTTTCATATAAAATTAATTTAGAACCGACACAAAGTAAAGCCGTAGGCTAGACAATAGCGAACTGTTCGTACAACAACTCCCGCACTTTGTAATACTCCTCAGACAGCACGCCCTCCAGCGCGACGCGACCGTTCTCCAACTGAAAAATTATACAAATAATACAATAATCTGCTAAAAAGTAAATTGTTATTTACTACAGTATTATTAATCATTAAAAAACAATGATAAACTTATCAACTGCACAAAACACAAAAGGAACCATATGACAAAAAATTATTCACATCAGTACCAGCATACAATATGAAGTGTGTAATGTGTACAATATAGAGTGTGTAATGTGTACAATATGAAGTGTTTAATGTGTACAATATGAAGTGTGTAATGTGTACAATATGGAATGTGTACAGTAGTTACTGACCCGGCGTATAGCGACAGTGCCGCTACAGCACTCGAGAGCTCCGCCACTGAATTCCGCGGGCAGTCCGGCGCGGGCGAGTGCGCCACGCAGCTCCGATAGCCGTAGTGAGTTGATGAAGGCCGCGCTGTGCGCCGCACCGCCTCGCGCCCGCTCCAGGGACATCATCTCGTCATCCTCCGGCTCCGGCTCACCCTCTTCTGTATAATTGCAATTTGACATTGACATGACATGTTTAAAACGATTTTTATTGAACGTTAAATGCAAAAAATAATATGCGTAATATTTTTTGGTATCTGTACATTTGTAACGATTTTGGTAGTACTAAAACTCTATACTTTTGGATTTAGGAATTAAAATCCTGAATTCTACTGTAGCCTCGCCTTCTTTAATGGCAAAATAGTAGTTTGTCCCAGCTGTATTAGAGGAGTGTGTGTACCTGCGTCGGTGCATGTAGCGCGGGGGCGCTGCGCCACTACTGCGGAGAGCCAGGCGAGCTCCGCGTCACCCGCGCTGCGCCACGCCAGCCCGCTCACCAGCGCGTCCGTCAGCTTCACCTGGTGCATCATACAACATGACAACCGTAGCTCTAGATATTTTTAGAATACAAGCTGTTGACCACGACATGCTCAGCGTAAAATCAAATAGACAGACAAGAATAAAAAAAATGGTTTTTAGTTATCAGCAACGTTAATACATCACGTTTATAAATTTGATTTTTTTTTCTCGATTTTACATACAGACACGTCAATTTTATTATTCTACCATGCATAAATTGTTTATCTTGATATATATTTGAATGTTACCTGGTAGATATGAGACTCTGTTGTAGCGTCGATTGTATCACCCTTGTTAGGTGTAAATACTTTCTCTATGCCCTCGCTCTCACAATGTTTCCTGCAAAATAAACAGAAGTATTATTTTTAACTAATGGTGATTGTAGTATAGCAACCACTGCCGTCAAATTTCAGCCAAAAAAAAACCAAAATTACGTATTTGTTAAGATATTTAATGAATTATGTATTTACATCTACAAATAAAAATTATACGTTTTTTAAAAATCGCTACAATCTTACTAATATTATAAATGCGAATGTTTAGATGGATGGATGTTTGAAATTATCTCCAGAACGGCAGAACGGATCTCGATGAAATTTGGCATACGTATAGAATATAGTCTGGTAGAACATCTAGGCCACTAATTTTTATTCTTTTTTTATTCCGCGCGGACGGAGTCGCGGGCGACAGCTAGTGGAGCATAAAAATTTTGACAGATTTCATCCTACTCTTGACATTTAGAGCTTTAAATTTTTCCTTAATCATTAAAATTAACAAAAACGTCAAAAACCGCATACAGCAGTTACATAGTGGTAATTATAAAGAGAAAAAAAAACAAAGAGAAATACATACGCGAGTGTGTTAGCCGCATGCGGTCGTGCCCGGAGTGCGACTAGCGCGCGCGGCTTTGCGTGTGCGACCAGTCGCAGCAATGAGTCGCCGTCGCACCGCCCCTCCAGCTCCACGTACTGTATACTGGCGCGCACAGCCACAGCGCGCACCACGCTCACACACTTACTCGGGATTTCTATCATCTCCTCTGAAAAAAACATCTATAAATTACATCGCATGAATTTCAATCTTTTTATTTCTCAGCTGTAACAAGCTATGACACCCCTACTCAGTGTGATATCACATATTTTACAAGTAATGACGTCATAGTGCAGTGATGTCACAAAATTTAGGAACCCTCCCCTTGTTACAATGTCTTACTTTGTCGACTCCCTCTCTTATCCTGTGTAATTTAATAGTTATTAATCAGCGGTCTCATAATAACCGGAATAAAAGCACTACTTTTTATTAAAATTCCGCATAAATCAATCAAGCAATCATAAAATGTAAAATATTTATTGGTTAACTGAGATAATTCTATTGATGTTTCTTATTAAAAAGTTTACCATCAGGTTCTTGTTTCTGCGGCGGCGCGGGCGGCACGTCTCTTATCTCCCCCTCTGCGTCCACTATCTCTGCCAATCTGTAGTCTTCCGGCTGTAAACAGGAATATAAATGATAAATATCATAAAATAATTTCGAAACGCAGTTTACTTTACCAAATAATTTCGAAACGCACTATGCACTAACAAATAATTTCGAAACGCACTTTACTCTAGCAAATTTTACTTCCAAACGCAGTTAACTCCAACAAGTATAACTTCGAAACACACAGTATAATACCCTTACACAGATTTCACAGGAGATAATTAAGAAACGCAGTGCATAATTTCGAAACGCAGTAGCAACCAACCCGTATAATCTCTCCGTAGTCATCAGCACGGGTGCGTTCCTCATGGAAGGGATACATGGCGTGGTGGCGCTTGTTACTCTTGAAGCAGCCAGTGGGGCGCGTGTCATGTCGCACAGGCATGTCATGTCTGCCTGTCACTACGCACATCTCTAGTTCACCTTCCGATTCTGAATCTGATGAAATGCCACCAACGTCCTCCCTGTAAAAAAAATAAGTGTTAATTGAGCATCCAAACTACGATTTGTTTACTCGCTAGGCGATTCGGTGGCATTGAATGCGTTAACTAAAGTGTCAAAATGACAATTGCTCGTATTTGATTTTTGCTAAAATATGATGATAAGTTGAGGTTTTTAGTTTTTTAACACCTTTTTGAAGTGTAAAATGAAATTTCTGCAAAACCCTACATAAACACACATTATGGGTTTGATAGACAGTATAGATTATGAAAATACGCTTCATAACTCTTTTAACGAATGAGTTCAGCATAAACCATGGCTTTCTGAGACAAAAATCTCTGCATAAAACATATCGTTGCTGAATTTGGTTTCAGAAACCCACTGTTAGTTTGTTTTGGCACATCTGGGCAATGTTACACAGTTGACTTACTTATCGGTATTATTAATCTTCATCCGTTGCTGCTGCAGGAAGTCCTCCAGTTCAGCTCCTTCCAACCTCACTCGCTTCTTCACCATCAGCTCGATGGTCCTGTCCCCACCTTTGTCTATCAGGTCCCGAGCTAGGGTACCTGGCGATGTCCTGGAAATTAACATATCTGGTACATAACCAAAATCTAAACATAAATAAGAAAAACGAATCATATCCTATTGCTTAGTAGTGTGATTTAATAAGTTTAATTCCGACAACGGACTGCATCCTCAAGGAACACTCTCATCTAACCCCAAAAATATAGCCTTTACATACCTTGCCGTTAAAACAATAGAGTTTAAATTATTCGGAGCCCATTGTAGGAAGAGGTCCCTGGCGAAACCAGCCTCAAGGTCAGGGAAGGAGGCGAGCACCACTTTAGGTCCTGGGGTCCTGGTCACTTCCACCACGGAGTGACACAGCTGCAGATGTCGGAGGGCGAAGGGATTGCTGCGTGCTCCCTCGAAAGCACGGGTCAGTTTGTCGCTCATCCATTCTATCTGTTAAATATAAGCCTTTATGACTAAATAATACAAGGAAATGTACAAAATACCAAACCAAGCTTGCTCCGCCAGCACTAGCACATGATCTCTGATTTAAATATCTTACGAGTCTCCATTGACTAAACACTGAGATAAAAGCCTACAATGAAAAAAAAAACAAGTATTTCTTAGCGGAAACCCATAATTAAAATAGCTTAAGAATGATACTTATAGAGCAGGGATGGCGAACTTTTAAGCATCAATATGCCATATTTAAATAATTGAAATTGTGTCATAGATATGCCATCAAATATTTTTAACATTCTCGTTCTCATCTCATATAATACTTAGTATTGCATAAAGTAATGACGTGCCATAGATTCACCATCCCTGTTACAAAGTAACAAAACAACTTACCTGAGACTTAGCAAACTCCAGTACATTATAACTGACGTTGGAGAGTAGGAGCAGGGAATAAGCCACCAGCCCTGAGTCCTTGTTGCGCCACAACTGATCCAACATATGGGCAAGCTCAAGCACCCGGCCAGCGGTGTCGGTACAAACGAGTACTGATCCACCACCACGGAGTGTACTTAGGATGGTCGCTGAAATTATACATTGCTATAGTGGTGGATTTTTATAATGAAAAAACTTACCAACTTCTTAGAATAACGAAATAATGAGTGAGGTAAGAGACAAAATCAAAATATTGAAACTTCTTTTATACCTTATCACATACTTATACTAATATATAAACGGCTAAACACTCATGTTTATATCTCTGGTGTCGGTACCAACTAATTTTGAGTTCATTGAGGACCCTTAATCAGGTTGAGTGGGACTCCTATCATTTCGCAGACATGGTCTGTAGCTCTCTCACTCAGTGGTAAATATGATATATGTGAGTGTTCAGCCGTTTATATTAGTTTAAGAGACGAAACTACGGGAAGAGGAAATATCTTTTTACTGTACTCTCCCCTGTTCATTTAAGGCAGGAGAAATATTTCTAACCTTATAATTTGTTGCAGAATATCTATTGACAATGTTAACTATCATATTAGCAAAATTAGGTGTTTAATTGCAAGCTTCTATTCAAAATTTCTAATTCAATAAATAAATAAATAAAGAAAAATGCGGGAACCCAGCCGGTACTATGTGTTTGAGTAACTGTATATGCTTATGATTAACATTATAAAATATATTTTAATACATACTCATTAACTTCTCATCTCGCAATCTTCTTCTCTGCTGTACATAATCAGCATTTGCTGCACCAAGCAGGAGTAAAGATGGCCTCATAATCTTCTCTATCTCACAGCCATTGAGATGCCGTTCTTTCTTATGGTTAAAGTCTGGTGCATACACAATGTCCTCTTCTCCTGGTGCAACTATTCTCCAGACTGTGCCACCGAGGGAATGTCCAGCAGGAATTGGTGTAATCCTTAATCCATGGCCTTTACCTGAAACATACATCAATACATTTATATAACATTGAATATCTTAAATTATTCAAACTTTCATGAGACATTATACTAAAATGATATATAAACACGGCTAAACACTCATGTATGTGTAACTAGTTGGTGCCGCCACTGGATGAATATACGTGAGTGTTTAGCCGTGTTTATATATAATTGAATATATTGTCTGTCATATTGAATCACAAAATTTAAATGTATGTTTTTAATGTCTCATTTAAAATGTACAAGTTAAATTTCCTTGAATGACCATTTTTTACCGAATGAAGAAAATCGGCATAAAACAAGATAATGAGTTCTGAGACTTAAATAAGTAATTGTTAACAAGAAAACAATACCTTTCATATCAACACTTTGATTGTATTTCAACTGTGTAATTCTATCAAAAGCAGCATCCACATCATCAAGGGTGAACAGATCAAAGTCAGATACATTCCTGTGAGCCTGGTATAAATCATACATGAACATCTGTCCCATCTTGTACACTGGCAGTGTAGCATAAATAGGACAATTCAGTCCTAGCTGTCCCACAGCATATGGTAATGCACCAAGATGGAGAGGATCGGAATGTGAGAGTAATACAGCATCTATAGTATTGACATGTCTGAAATATAGATTATGTATTAGAAGTGATAACTAAAATATATAATTTATTTAATATAATTTTTACAAATGTATTAATTACAAGTCTAATCTTTAAATAAGCATAGTAACAAAAAATAATTAAAATAAAGAATTCTGTATGGCTTAATTTTTGTTAACTTTGACTATATATAATTAAGTACAATAATTACAATGGGTAAGAGTGAGAGAAAGTCCAATTATTACTTCAATAAGGGATAGTGACCTGTACTTTTATGTCTTATCAGATGTTTAACTGAAAATTTACAAAAACATAACCTCAATTTCTACCTTTTTAATTCTTTGATAAAATCCATATCAAACTTTTCATCCCACCCGCAATCCAAGAGGAACTTGAATTCATCTACTTGGAGGACGTAACACGGCGGAGTCTCGTCCCCGGCTCCGGAGAGGCAGTGTAACTTTATAATGGACGTCATCTTTCTAATCAATTTTATAGTAATTCTAACATAGAAGCAAACTACTGTCAATAATAAACTTATATCATTTCAATTTCTTGCTGAAAGATTCAATGTAACATCGCGTTTTATAACTTAATAATACTTAAAAAGTTTACAAATGATCATAAATTACGACAAGTTATTGTTTATATATTTTTTACTTTGACAGTGACATTGACATTTACAAAGAGTAGTGCAAATCATGCACAGAGTGTATAGATTAATAAAAAAGATAAAAATCGTCTTACAAAAAATCGTTTCAGTTGTAGTCGACATTTAACTACGTCACTTTTTATATTTTACGTTTTGTTTAATTTTTCATACTTTAAACTGATGACCATTATGATATCACTGCAGTTTTTAAATCTTGAATCATTATGGTTATCGCCTTAATATTATTAACTCTTTATCAGCAAAGTAATACTTATAATATTTGTCATCAATGAATGATCAATGATCAAGGAGCTTATATGGAGATTAAATAATGAAAAAGGCCAAGGAAAATATTCACTTTTCATCTATTATTTCAAGGTACAAAAGTTTACTGTAGACATTTTACAATGTAATCAACACGAAACACGTTCTCAATCCTTAATTTTTTTTAAAAGATCTGACAAGCATTGTTTTACTTCCACTTCAATCTGCATGTCTTTGAAGGTTTGAATAGGGGTGATTACTCCTTTACATTGCCTATGAGCATCGTTATCAATCTTTGCCGGTGTAATTGAGACATGTAATTTTTTGTTCAACGGAGTCAGAGGATGATTATTAGAACGGGTTGAATGGTTAAAATCTCTCATATCAGGATACAACGTACGTAGTATCAGAGGTTTGTCCATTTCATCTACAACAATAAACGGTCGACCTAGCTGTATTTCGTGTCGAACTCTAACAGCTTCTTCTAATCTCGCTTCATATGTAGCTTGTATGGTATCTGCATCTTTTTCTGCCAATCTTCTTATCCTTTCTTCGAGTTTTGCGTCTGAAAAAAATTTAGGCATTAACTATATATCTCATAGATTAAATGGGTATTGAAGGAGGCACACGTAAGCTGTGTCCTGTCGGTCGATAAATTAATAATTTAATATTTAGTAATAAAATTAGTTACCGTTGTATTTCATAAAAGCATAGTTCAGTAGCAATATAGAAAGGTAAATGACAATAACTATTATCATATAGACCCACCATTCCCCGCGCAGCAACTGATCCTGTAACAACAGATTACAAATAAATGGTGATATAAGTCGTTTTAAAACTATTTTAATTGAGACCTTAACATATTGTAACTTTTACTACTAGCACATGATAATGTTTGTCTTACCCAAGTTAACATAGTATATATTTTTAACTTTTTCTATTATACTGTTATGTTGGTTCATATTATTGTTAAAATTTTATTCTTACATTTATAATATGACATTTTGTTTTTGACATACTATGACTTTTGTTGACATTTAAGATTTAAGAATAATTTTCCACAATTTACTTTTGTTTGAAAAAAAAAAAGAATAATTGCAACACACGCACATATTTTTGAATACTTGCAACCCAAACTGAACCAACAAAAATAGTAGTTGATATTTTATTATTTTTTAGCTCGAAATAATGCAAGAAAACTAAATAATTTTAATATAAAAACTAACATAGGTTAGAATATTTCCCGCCTAAATAAAGCTGTCAGTGAATCGGGTATAATTTCCTTCACTCATTTTCCCTTAGACATTCATATCGAGTCAAATCTGCTTGGATACACTGAAAGAATAAATCTTATAAGTTGAATGTCAGCTTTAATCAGACAACTTTAATCAGAAGTTATTTCAAAAGCGATGCCTTACAGACTGTATTTTATCATTGCTAGCAGACAAAACTTAAAGAACTTTGTAGATGCTACCTAAACAATTTTGACGTAAATCGCGTTTTAAAAGGTACAAGGTGTAAGCCTTTACAATTTAATTAGAAACTTTAATTAAACGTAGACATAATTGCAGAAATTAAGTCTTTCGTAAAATATTAAGACAACAGTAACAGTTGCTTAAATTTTTATTAATGACTATTTCTTTATAAAATATAATAGATGGCGCTGACTGATAAATCATATCTACATCACTTTATTGAGATTTATTGAGTTCATAATTTTATCAATGTCCATTTAGTAGATCTTACTAAACAGTTGCCCTTCTTCAGTGCTTTGTTACGATACGCACACGGCTATTGTAATAAATAAAGCTGGAAAGGACAAGCCATTCATCTGCGTGTTTCCGCGGTGTGGTGGTTTTTGCAATGGCTATCGTAGCCCATTTGGGCACGCATCCTCTCTGAGAATTACGTGTGAATATGCCGTAATAAATTTGCGAAAATTTAAAACACCAGATTCGAACTCTGAATATTTTTAAAACGTTTTTTGACTTAAGCTTCTCCCAAAATTAAGATACCTATAGAATTATTTTACTTAAATAATTCGCCTTTTTATGTTGTTCTGTCAATAATTTTAAAACTCCAGCATATAAATTAAATAACTAGTAAACAGAAGGCTCCACTCTTTTACTTCTTCTAGATAAACCGCTCTGAACCGGTTCAAACCGCACGCGAGTCTCATTATTTCTTAATCTCAGTTTAACGAAGCGTGCCAGATTACCGGCGCGGGATGTGAGACGTCTGGAGTAAAATTTAACGACAGTTTTAACGAACTGTATTGTATTGCACAACATAGGTGTACTTTGTTACGTTATTTAGTATTTTTATCATAGTATTAGATTTTGGCATTTATTATCGGCTCTGATAAATCAGCGCCATCTCTATTTAATTGTGTTAAACCTTTACAATTTAATTAGAAACTTTAATTAAACGTAGACATAATTGCTTCTATAAGTTATTACGTGTATATTAGTGTTATTTAAACAAACGCAACAACCGACGAAACTAAATTAGTTGCGCAGCTGCACGTGTTTACGCTGACAGCAACGAATTTGCATTTGGCGCACGGAATAATGTTTTTGTTAGCAATTTGCGGGTAGGTGAGATTTAACTGATTCAGTTATTGTTGAAATACAGTCGAACTGATTATCAATATCAAAATATGTCTATCGTTAATATTTTCATTTAATAGGTTAATTTGAAATTGATGAAATTGTGAAAATTTTGACTTGACGGATAAATATTTTCTGATAGGTTATAAAACTCTTCCATAAACAATCGTATTGTACCATTTTCTCCATTACACAAACTTTTTTGTTTTTAAATTAAATTGATAGGTACTCTGTGCTTTTTTAAAGTAATATAAGACTGTAGATTTTCTTCGTGTTTAAAGTACTGCAATTTGAGTTTTAAACATACGATTATTTATGGAGCCATTGTTATGTATCTAGTGAGATTATAATCAGACTGTTGACGATGGAATGTCAAAACCTTTGTCATATTTTGTTAATTATTTAAATGTATCGACTTTGAGTTATTTTATTATCTTTCTATGTGTACTTCATATATATTTGTACTCTGTATTCGTACCATAACGTACCATTTTATTATCTGTAAACTACTGATTATTACCAAGGTAGATGTAAAAACTATTGGTAACTTTGGAATAAAATAAATAAATATAATGCAAGGTAGTCGGCACACAGAACAGTCGAAATTCAGCCGTCGGACTGCGAACAGTGCGCACCTATTCAAATCTTGCGTTTTTCTCTCCTCATCGCCGCCATCCTCCACACCGACGAAGTTCGTAATCGGCACGTATCACATCAACAGAAATGATATGACATCAAGAGAACTATGTGATACAAATATGTTCACAAAAGGGGTGTATTAAAATTAAACAGAGTCATAACAACACGGGTTAGCGATTACTTTGCAAAATGTTGTGTCGTTTTATAGCATTGTGTAGGATGTAGAAGTTAACATTATGTTTTGACGTTTTCGGGCTCTTTATCACTGTGTTGTAACGTGACTTTAAGCCAAATATAGGGTGTTTTATTACAATAATACATTACAGTTGTACTTTTAATATTAAAATTATACTTCATATTTTTTCGTCTGTTCTCGATCTTGTTAAAAAATTCGAGTAAATTTATTCCGTAATTTTTATTTAAACTACTCCTTCAATAGTAATCAATAGTAACTATAGTAACCGCGTTCGATTGAATAGTTACTAAGACGTCCTTTATCGTAGGTATACTCTTTTCAAATATCTTAGCACACCAAGGTCATAGGCGCGCTGCGCAGTTCCCTCCCCCCGCATCCCACTAATATTGTGTTCTGTGCAGCGACTCGTGCGAAGTTAAGAGCCGCAAAGATATCTGAAAAGAACAAAAAGAGAATCTACACTCGACGTGGGCGACTCGTGTAATTGCAGATGACTATGGACAGAGTTCTGTTCGCTATTTCGGAATTCAGATGGACGCTAACTCGTTTGCAACCTTAAAATATAAAAGGAGATTAAATAAATAGTGACATAAAATAATCGTCTAATACGTTAAAAACAATCTTATGGCCAACTACAACTAGAATGGTTGTTGATGGCCACATTAGAATAATTCCTAAGCACTCGTGAAAGTGGAAAATGGAGGCATTAATTTTCTTAATTTCAGCAGGACGCTGCGGTTCGCCTGATAAATTGTCTCGCCGAAATTAGTGGCTGCGAGCCAGTGGGAACTGGGAACTGTGAACTGGGGGACTGGGGGACTGGGGGCATTACAACATATACCTATTTTAATTGCTTACATCCTTCGTATGTTTTAGAGAAATGCGGTACGCGACCAAGTGCAAGTCAAGAATTTATAAGAAGTTGTATACACTTACAAATGTTTGAATCAAATTTATTTAATACTAACGTATGAAAAGATTTGTATGGCATATTTCAATATGCATTGATATCCTTGGCTTTAATCTATGGTTGAAAGCATATTAAGTGGATTATTATACGGTTGGAGTTTGATAGATCCTCATTGATAGATACTTCAAATTTAAGCTAACCTCAACTAACTAAATGATGACGTCATACTAATTCAAATCGCGTAGTTTAGTTAGCGACCTGACAGTTGTCTTAAGACTCTACAAAGAAAAGGTTATTAACTCTGGCTGAAGAACTTTTTTCTAAAATGAAATTGGAACGAAACTTCTACTTTTATAATCTGATTATCAGGAAATTTTACAAATGTGTCTATTTTCATTTAAGTTATATTTTACGTTAAAAACCACGCAATAAAGTTAGCTACTGTGTTTTAAAGGGCATGTATATAATAAAAGGGTAAATATAATCTGTGCTCTACAAAGAATTTGTTTTAAAAGTGTATATTGCAATGCGGCAAGTCTAGCGAGAGCCGCGTTATCTGCGAGCTGCAGTTGACAAAAGTCTGTCGTTCAGGATTAACGTGGCTGTATCATTTTTTTGTCAAATCAGCTGAATTAAATGCTAAATTAGTAAAATTAAAATAAATTGTTTCAGACACTGTCATTTTAATAATTTATTTAAATCCATCTTGTTGAATTCTTAAATAGTCTTTTAACGTTGACGTCTACATTAAGTTTTATCTTCATCTCACACAGGCTGTCGCCTGCTACTCCGGTCGTGCGGAATAAAAAAATCATAATAAGTAAGTTCTTCCAGACTATGTTGTACATCTATTGCAAATTTCGAGATCAATTGAGCCGCTCCGGAGTTACCTTCAGACACATCCATTCATACATTTAAATAATCGCATATATAATATTAGTAAGAAGTAAGATTTCGTGTCACGATGTTTGTTCGCGATAAACTCTGAAACTACTGAACTAATTTTTATAAAATTTAGAAAGTACATATCTGTAATTTCGTTCAACTTGGGAGATAGGGTAGTTTTTAACTCAATTATTGATCTTTTTTGATTCCGCGCGGACGGTGTGTCGGACGATAGTATTATTATATGGAAAACGGAATCTAAGAACACAAAGTATCTGACAAGTAGCTTTAAATGAAATTTTAATATTAAGAAAACTTTATTTGTAAGTTATAGATTTGCTTGCATTCCCCGTATAGAGCCCAAGCGTAGAGATGCGATGCCGGAGCCAGCAAACTAATTTCAAGTTTCGTTCCAATTTGCGAAGTTGGCGTTGTTAGCATACAATTGTAGTTCTTAGGCGGCTAAGTTGCGTTTGTTTTCATAAATTTCTTTATAAAATATCTTATATGTTAACCCATGAGCAAAAACTTTAAATATTTATTTACACCAACAATCAGACGAAATTGTGACAAAAATGTTCTTAGATTTTATGAGATATATTTTTAATAGTGAAGTAGAGATGTCGAAGGCCTTTTACTTATGTAACTGGCCTTAAACCACCCACGTGGTGTCTGCCTCAAAGTTTTTATAAACTATAATGTTTGGTTATAACATGGCCAGTATTTTCACAAACAAAAGGTACATGAACAAGTTTTTAAAAGAGCAACAAATATAAGGAATACGAAGATAAAATGGCCTAGACTTTTTTGTAGCTTCTGCATATTATTTTGTCTTATAAATCTATGTTTTTTTTAATGTAATTCGTTTAAAAAATTCCAACCACATCGTCATACAAAACATAATATTCTAAAGCCTTTTCATGCAGTAATTGGCTGCAGCCGTAGAGAATCTTTATATGACGCTAAGCGAATAGAAATACTGATATGTTTTTACTACTTCTGCGTTGGAAAAGTTCCTACAAACGCGATATTAAAAGGAATTCCCGAGGGAAGTAATTTCACTATTGCATATCAAGCTGAACTCTGAAGCAAATGCCAAGGTAATATAACGTAAAGAGGATAAATAATAAAAAAACTTAATATGTTTGTGACAGTGCATAAAAAAGCTTAATTAAAAAAAACAGGCAATTCCTCTGACAGTATTATGACATCTTAAAAGGTTATTATTTTGTCTGTGGTTACGATACGAATATAGAAGACCGTCATAGAATGTTTAAAATTAATATTGTTAAATTAGAATTACATGTTGAAATTAAAATGCAGTCAATTTACAGTATATTGAAAAGTAGGATTAAACTTATTAAATATTTTACATTTGAACTAACAAGTTGAATGTTGAGTAGAAATTGAAATCAGGAAACTAATTTCAAGTTCCGTTGCAATTTGTAGAGACGCCATTGTTAGCTTTGAAACGTACTATAACTTACGTTTTACATATGTGGATTTTCAATTTATTCGTATTGAAAGTTTAAATCAATTTTATATTCTGCATTCTTGATGTATAGACAATTTTTTATGTCTATCATCATAGACAGAGAAAAGAACTACTAACGCCATCTACATTTAATTTGTATACACCATTTCACGCAAAAACTTCCTGGAAATATTTAATTTTTATATACACATACTAAAATATTGGATCTAAAAATATTGATCTGTGTAAACAGAAGATGAATTTAAATTCCAACAAGAGCTGATTTTTTAAATTTTTATTAAAAAAAAATCTTTTGTTTTCGGTACTAAAATACTATTGTCATTCAAACTTAATCAATTATGATAAAACGTTCTCAAATCATTGCAATATCGCTGAGTAAAACAATGTCATATTATAGACGCGTTATATATAAAGAATAAAGGATTTTCTCTTTTAAGCTCTCCCTTTGACGTTTCCAGTCGACGCGTTCAAAAGCTTTCGTAATAGAGTCACGTATATATTTAAACGTCTCGATACTTTCTGTAGTCAATCTTTTTCGGTATCGCTGTGTTAAGGCTAGATCCTATCACGACTTTGATGTGTCGAATCGAATATGTTTGTACGAACTTAAGTTACAACAATGTTAATACTTTTTGGATTATTCAGATCATATAAGATGTGTTCATAGGAATAAAAAGATAGACGTATTTTCTGCAGGTTTTTACGTATGACAAATAAATTAATCGACTAGCTGTCACCTCCGTCCGCACGGAATTAAAACTTTATAAGTAGCCTATGTGTTCTTCCAGACTATGTTCTACATCTGTGCCAAATTTCATCGAGATCAGTTGAGCTGTTTTGGAGATATCTTATAACGTACATCTAAACTGTCGCATTTATAATATTAGTAAGTTAGGGACAATACCAACTAACCAGTACATAACAAGTTTTGTTAAGATGCTGGATACTGACTTTTATTATCAAAGTATGTGTGGGAAAACATTCCTAATAATTGCTAATTACTGTTTCATTAAAATCTCTTTGGGCTTTGTTTAATTTTCTCGAAAGGAAAGTAAAGTCCGTCATGATCAATTAGCGTAATGTTAATTGACATTATTAAAAAATCATAATGAATTAAAAAAATAACTGGCCGATAAGAAAAAAAATACTTTCTTTTCTTTTAATTTAAAAACATCTTGAATTTCCTAACTGGCCTGTACGAAACTAGCAAAAACTGTGATCCAAAGGTAACGTGTATTTCGCGTAGTGCTCTCAAAATAACAAGCAATTAGTTCTGATGGACGAGCCGTCTCCGGCATTCAGATATTAAATATGACTTTGCTGCACTCTAGTGCTCTGTAAATAATGATGGATCTACAAAAATTGTTTACAAAAACTAGCATATTTCACTAAAGAATTTGCCTTGATGTCTAAGGCCTTTTGTGGTTTTCTTACATCTTAATTGTATGAAGTATTTACCGCTAATACTGGCAGGCTACACGCTACCAAAAAACAAGACTTAGCGTAAACAAAAACTTAACTTATTTATCTTTGGGATAGTAAGAAAATATTACAGCTTACTAAGAACCCTTAAACAGTACGAAAATTTACAGCAAAAGTGCTTCAGTTGTAGAAATTAAATTACCGAATTTTGTTTACAGGGTGTTATAAAAGTACTTTAAAAAAGACCTTTTGTTTCTTTGTTGAACATGTAACAATTTATCTCAAATTACTCATGTCTTAATATATATGTACTAGAGCTAAAGCTATGAGCTATAATTGAAGTCAATTTAATATACAATATTTCGATAACGGACCAATTGTGTTTTTTTTCTCAGAATAAGCAGCTTTCGATGCAGTCAGAGGCCATAATTTAACCGAAAACCGGCGACTTTACCGCAAACTCAATAAATCTAAAAGATTTCTATTATAGATAATACCGCCCGACTTTCCATGTTTCGTTTCGTTTTGCGTCACTGTTTCTTAGTTACAATTGTATTTATGAGAATTTAAGAGTTAATTTTTCTTACCAAAGTATAACAAGAGAATTCGCCCGTATGATTAATCTTATATTTAAAAAGCATTTGCTGTAACTCGTGTACAACAAAAATATATATATAAAATAGTATAAAGTCTTTTATATTTGTATTTATAACGTATTTACGCTTTAGAATTATTTTATAATATATGTAAGAAACCAATAAAACCGTCAGATTGGCCATTTTTAACACTTCAAAAAGCATACCAAATCTGGTCTCTTCAAAGTCAATTCGGTGAATTAATTTCCGTATTTTAAAAAAAAGAATAATCTTACTATTATTTAGGTAAAAACTAAAGACATTTGTAGAAATTATAATAATTAAAATTATGTATGAAACATCCTATATCATTACCAAACATCGGAATATTTTATTGTCCCATATTACTTTTTTTTACTAATAATATAAATGCGAAAGTTTAGATGGATGGATGAAAGGTTTTTTAGCAATAGTACAGAGAAAAACATCTATGTAAAATATTGCATTGGTTACTTAAGTTTTTTTTAAATTACGTACGTACGAAATCAAGGCTTATGAAATAAATAATTCAACTTAACAATTTAATTTTTAATTACTAGTATAATATATTAAGCTTTAATTTACAAAGTCAATTTAAATTTTTCTCGTCTAACTATTAAGCGTGCAAACAATTCGTTCTCCAATTAATTTTACGCCATCTTAAACAATTTTTACGAGAAAAAAATTGTAAAGTGCTCCTCTCCACTTGAAAGTTAATTACTTAAAAAAAACCTTGAATATCATTTACCAAAGGCTTTTTCTAATTTATACAAAGTTTTTTGAAATTATATTAAACTAGTTGTCGCCCGCGACTCCGTCCGCGTGGTATATAAAAAAACTTAATTAGTGTAGCCAATCTGTTCTTTCAGACTATGTTGATACGTTTGCCAAATTTAATCGAGATCCGTTCAGCCGTTCTAGAGATATCTTCAAACACCCATCCATCCATCCATCCACGTCACATCTATCTAAACATTCGCATTTATAATATCAGTAAGTTAAATAAAAAGCTGATCTTCAAGGCATAAATTAAAAAAAATAGAATCCTATGTCCGTCTCCTGGTTCTAAGCTACCTCCTCACCAATTTTCAGCGTAATAGTGAAACTAACTCGACTTTCTTTTATATGTAGATTAATGACCAGTTTAACAAATGTATTACGTTCTGAAGATATTTAAACAATGATGACTATGCACTAAAATAGACAATTCTATGTAACGGTAAAAATAACGTATTTTTTTTTATAAGAGAAGGGACAAAGGAGCAGTGTGAACACCGAGGTGTTCATCAAGGCCCATGGACTGCATTACCAGTGGAAGATACGTTGCCGGTCTTTGACACGTATTAACATTATTAATACTAAATTTAAAGGTGTTAAATATATGGCTAAGTTAGCTGTGGCGACTCCGTTTTAGCGTAGTTAAAAAAATACTTAAGTACCCTGTGTGTTCTTCCAGGCAAGGTTCTACATCTGCCTTTCATTGAGACGTATGCAACAGTTTTGGAGATGCCTTCAAACAAACATCCATCGAAACATTCGCATTTACAATATATATTTTTTTTATAACAGAAGGGGGCAAACGAGCAGCGGGAACACCGAGGTGTTCAATGACGCCCATGGACATCAGCAATACCAGAGGAACCGCAGATGCGTTGCCGGCCTTTGAGGTGGTGATAAGCTCGCTTCTTGAAGGACCCTAAGTCGTAGCGGTTTGGAAATACCGCCGAGGACAGACCAATCCACAACTCTGCTGTGCGAGGCAGGAATAGCATATTAGTAACACACAACCTCGCACAGCAGAGTTTTGGATTGGTCTGTCCTCGGCGGTATTTCCAAACCGCTACGACTTAGGACCTTCAAGTCCTTTAGTAAGATTATTAATATACACAGAATTTCTTTAATTATTTATTTCTAATTGTTAAAATTTAATCAAAAATACCACTAGTATGATTTGTTTCTACGGTTAGTTGCAATTTATAATTGCTACAATCGTTTTCCATCAATAAAATACTCTACAGTTTGTATTTGGTTTAAAATGTACACATATTTGAAGATTTCAATATACGTGTTGTCAATTATAAGCTCATTGTTTATCAAATCTTTTCATTCAGCAATTAGTTGTAGGGTACGTTTAAGATGTTTATTAATTTCAGTTTAATATTGTTATCTCTGTTTTGTGAAGGATAATGACAGGGATGACAATAAGTTTTTGTACAGAGATTTTGATGAATTCAACTTCATTTCGGGAGGGCACCGCACAGCGCACACATGATCTTGAGCGGCCAAGATATGTGAAAAGAGTTATGTTTCATACAGAGATTTTTTAAACTTCATTTGGAGAGGGCACCGCGCAGCGGACACATGATCTTGAGCGGCCAAGATATGTGAAAAGAGTTATTTTTCATACAGAGATTTTGTAAACTTCATTTGGAGAGGGCACCGCGCAGCGCACACATGATCTTGAGCGGCCAAGACATGTGAAAAGAGTTATACATTTTTGCAGGATCGAAGTGTCCATTTAAGGTTAGATGGTGGTCTATGTTTCGAAATCCCACCATGGCAATACTTACCAGTGGAAATGGATCACCATATAGCTAAAGTGAAGGAGGTTTGGGGCAACCTGTCATCTGTTAGAGATACAAGAAGATTCAGTTTAAGTATTACTAATAGGTATGTATAATTGTATTCAATAGAATTGAGGAATTGACCCTGCCAGTGTTATACAAATACAAAGCATTTTTTCTTTTTTCAATTTAAAAATGTGCTTTTAAACTCAATACCATGTTAGTCAACCGCTGACGCTACATAGTTAAAGAGTTAACTAAAAATAGGCTTTCATAAACAAATCTATAGATAGACAAAATTTTATAGTCTAATACTATAAAATTTTGTCTATATTGAAATTTGTTAAATACAATTTAACATATCCTTTGAATCCTGATCCATTGTTAGTTAAAAATTAAATTTATTTTTATTTATTTATTTTAATTGGTACACAATACAGCTTAACACCATTAACACATTCAAAAATAAATGAAGTAAGATTAAGAATCTAGGTTATAAGCCAAAGTAAATGTACACAACATGATTATACAAATGTAAAAAGAGTAAAAAGAGCAGATTAAACACTTAAAAATTAATTATGTACACTTAAATTTAAACTGTTACAATTATGGGGGTTAATAAAGAACATGAAAATGAAGGGACGAGGAAAACTAGACATTGTTACTGCAGTATTTTTGAGACAGCATTTCTGAAGACCGCATATTTAGGATTGAAGATGTCTAGATCGTTCGATGTACGATAAAGACGTCTCATTAAACAATAGGGTTGTAATAGGAAGTGTTGAAATTGATTTTTAACTCTATGAATTAAGAATGTTTAGCAAAATTAGTCTATTCAAAATATATCAAGGTTCATTGATAAAAAAATTTAATGTAAGAGTTTTGTTGTTTTTCTAACATACCTATATCTTTTTGTAAAGTTCCAATGTCTCAAGTAAAAATAGAGTTTTCGCCATATAGATACAGTCAAAGTAACAATTTAGAAATCTAGTTACTGAGCAAATTTTCCCGGTAACTTAATTGTATCACGTGTTTGCAGTAAAATAAGTCAATACGTGGATACAGTGATTGGTCCGTTCTTGGATACATATCACAAAAACATTCAAACTTCGTACCAACAGATGACCAATAAAATACTACGGAAAACAAAAGACGAAATTAACGCAGCTATACGAATAAAACAGAGAGTTTACGAAGATTTGATTAAAATTGCAGATCGATTGGCTGTACCGGGTAAGTAAAATACGAACAAAATCACACAAAAAAAAAACAAAATTACTTTTTAATTTAGTTTATGTTTTATAGAAAACAACTTTTCCCTTCATTCTACTCAACAAATTGACTGAACTAGTGCGTGTGGTTTACTATACCTATTATGACCATATTATTTATAAGCCGTCGCTCGCTACTTTGTCAGTACAGAACTAAAAAAAGGGGCTTGACAGACACACGGATGGGCAATAAAGTGATCCTATAAAGATTCCGTTATTTTCATATGAGGTACGGAACCCTAAAATATTCTATAATATGCCCGCGTCTATCAGCCACCTTCCCGTCGAAATTAGTTCAGCCGTTTCGTTGTCTTATCTGGAACAATCGCGACCTTGCGGAAAGACATATATATATATATATATATAACTGTATGTAATTTAATTGACATTCTAATTTTATTAATACGTAAAGATTTGTTTCAGCAATGTGTGATGAGGAACGTCGTTACGCGCGCACCATCGCAAGCCGTCATGTGGCACAGATCTACAAATGTACAGAGGAGGCGAGAAACTCTATCACAAAGATGGGCAAATATGCCGAGGAAATGATAACAATCACACGCAACCATATGCAAGCTGCATTAGCTAATGCTACCAGCAAATTCGACGCTAACAAACAATATGAAAGAGAAAGTAATAAGTATGTTACTACTCATTTACCTAGGCTTATTATACTTTTAAAACTTGTTTGACTGTCCAGAGTGAGATGTCCAGTCAAGGACATTTCATTTGACTCTTACAATTTAATTAGGCCGAAGACTTATCTGTCGTGTCGAAGCTCTGATGATGACAGTTTATTATAAGATATTCGATTCTTAATTCAAAAACGTTAAATTATTTTCTTTGAAATGTCAAAGGAAAAAGCTATAGCGCTATTGTTTTCCATAGACATAACCTAAAAAGTTAATTATAATTTCTAATTTCTTACGTTAATATGACAGTTAATCTTAATATTTATTAAACTGTCCTTTCTATAGTTTTCTTTTATCTTAGTTACTTTGTTTTCAGAATAAATCATAGCGCTTGTTTGAAAGAGCTGTCGAAGGCGGCGGTGTCTCTAGGGTACGAGTTAGATCTCAGTTTGACGAATGCACGTCGCTACAACGAACAGTCCTGTGAGAGATTCACTGTCTGCTGCACCAGAGCTCGTAAAGATACAGAGGAATCTACTGCCGCGTTGAAAGATCATCTATATCAATGTGTATACGCTTAAATATATCTTTAGTACGGACAAATAGGTCACCTAATGTTAGTTGATTAGTGGAACTACAAAAGTGTTGCGGTGTAAGAGCTAGGTGATACCGCAACTAAAAAAACGAATAAAAAATTTAACTACAAACTTGTAAATTATACTTACTAATATTATAAATGCGAATGTTTAGATGGATGGTTGGATGTTTGTTTAAAGGTATCTCCAGAACGGCTAAACGGATCTAGATGAAATTTGGCATACATATAGAACATAGTCTGGAAGAATACATAGACTACTAATTATATGCAATGCAGTTTTTAAATAAATAAATAAAAAAAAAATCAATCTGTGCGGACAAAGTCGCGGTCAATTAATGTTTTATTTGTGTAATATTACTACATAAAAGTACAATCATAGAGGCTGTTAATAAATTCTTTTCGTTTTTTGGTAAAAGGAAGAAAAGCATTTATTAAGTATAAGAAAGGAACTGGGCTCTATGGAGGGCAATGTATTAAACGAGAAATGAGATTTTTCTGAATCGCTCCCACGTTTATGACGTCACATCGTTTATTTTTAACAAAACAATTTTATTTTGGATTTATTAATTTCTTTTTTTTATTAAGAAAGATCCGCGCCTTTATAAATAATATATAAAAATAATTTGTTATAATTATGCTTGATATTTTGGATTTTATGTTATTATTAATGTATTACGGTCTCTTATAAAATTGTGTTATTTAAATTGTAATTATATTTTGTTTTTGTTGAGAGCATCGGTGGCTCAGGGGCACTTGACTTGCAATCTGCAGGTCCTGGGTTCGAATCCCGCCATGTACCAATGTGTTTTTCGATTTCCGATTTACATATGTACATTTATCCGACGTTCTTACTGTGAAGGAAAACATCGTGATGCAATCTATACATATCTAAAAAGTAATTCAAAGATATGTGTGAAGTCAACCAACCCGCACTTGGCCAGCGTGGTTGACTATGACCTAATCACCCTTAACTTAGGGTAGGCTCCGAGCCCCTCGGTGGGGACGTATAGTGAGCTGATGATGATGATGTTGAATTAAATTTTATAATTATGAAGGAATTGGGCTCTACTTATCCAGTAATATGATATCGATATCTTCATAATCTTACTAATATTATAAATGCGAATGTTTACACGGATAGATGTTTGTTAGAAGGTATCGCCAGAATGCATGGATCACGCTAAAATTCGGCATAGATGTAGAACACAGCCTAGAAGATTACATGGGCTGCTAATTAACCTTTTTTTAAATTCCGCTAATACAGAGCCGAGGGTGACACTTTGTAAAGATATAATTATAAAAAAAAGCGTAATAAAAATGGTTGTATTGTCGAAGCAATGGTGATATAACATAGTTGGTGAAAAGTGAGGAATGGTCACATTTATATTCTTAATTCGCGCTAAATGCTGCGGTCAAGCGGACAAATGACGCGTCGTTAGCATGTGGCGCCCCCGCGTGCCGCTTGATGGAATTGCAACTGCAAGGACTCATATACTCAATTTTATTACATGTCTTCTAGTTGAAGAGAAATTGATTTTAGTTTTAACAATATTTATGAACTGAAAATCTGTGTTTTTAAATATTTAAGTAACGCATTAATTATCGTCAGCTCTTATGTCTCTAACCAACCCTAACGCTCAGAACCTACACAAGTCAAGGGGCGACTAGTCCATAGTCAATCACGGCTTTAGGCTCAGAGCTTACACAAGTCTAGGTCGTAGATAGTGACTAGTCTGTAGTTAACCACGGCTTAGTGCGTGTTGGTTGTCTTCACTCATATCTTTAAATTTCTTTTTCGATATATACAGTTTGCATAATGATGTTTTCCTTCACCGTAAGAACCACAAAGAGAGATATTGGTAAATAATGGAGATAGAATCTGGACGCGTCGATTTTGGCCCGGGACGATCCAGCACTTAAAAACTGCGCCATCGAGGCTTAAAAAAAATTGTGACTGTGCTTCATTCTTTTATGCTGCCAACTATATTTTGTTATGGCTTATTGACGAGGGTGATAATGTTACTGCAATTAAAATAAAACGCGTAAAATTATAAATATTCTAGTGTATTGTTTACTGTTTCGTAAGTGTATAGTATCATTTCATACAGTTAATAGCACAATCGTGAATCGGAACAGATGTGACCCGAAACCCGTGTGTTGCCCACGATCACATAATATTTTGTTTACAAGCAAACCACGACTGGTATAGCATATGCAAGTAGAGGCAAATGTAAGTTTTAAATATATTTTATATTACCTTTGGAGTAACATTTGTTGGGTAGAGTCAATGTTAGTTACTGGTTGTCATCCACGACTCTGTCCGTTTGGTATTAACACGTTAGCTGCGATGTCGGACTATATGTCCGACAAGCTAATGTTTCAATCAGGCCGTGTCAGACTATGTGTCCGACAAGCCATACTTCCATTCAACACCTGGTTGCGGCGTTTTTAATCGAATTTTTGTATATAGCTTGACCCGCAAGGCCCCATTCAAATCATTCTGGCAGCTAACGTGTTAAAATAAAACTTAATAAGTAGTCTATGTGTTCTTCCAGATTTTGTTCTATTTCCGTGTCAAATTTCAGCGAGATCCGTTAGACCGTTCAGGAGATACCTTCTAACAAACATCCATCTATCCATCTAAATATTTGCATCTATGTATGAACGAGTTTACCAATATGGTTGAAAATTGGTGAGTAGGTAGCTTAGAGTCAGGAGACGGACATAGGATACTATTTATTCTTTTTTTTTCGAATTTATGCCTTGAAGAGCTGCTTTTTATTTAACTTATCTATATATTAGGTTTTTTTATATATCCACGCGGACGGAGTCCCGGGTGACAGCTAGTTTATAATATTAGTAAGATTAGTTAGTTACATATTACCTTTTTATATTAAAAAATTCCAATTTAATTTAGTGTACTTTGTGTAGTATAAAATGTATTTATACGTAAAATAATTAAAAATAACACAGCTCTAGTTTGTGTTGTTTTAAAAAAAGTGTTAAAAACCTTTCTAAATTAACATTTTATGTTAACACAGTGGAGAGAGTTTGCATTGTGAGAGTAGTTAAGTGCTTCAGGTGATTTAAATGTAAATTTATTATACGGCCACCTCGCTACCGGACATCTGAAGGAGGGAAAGACTCTTATGCACTCTAGTTTTTTTTTTTTAAATATCAGTGACAATAGTCTTTTTACTAAATGACTCTATTGTGATATTTATATTTTGATATTTAAAAAAAAAAAGGATAAAACTTTTAATTTACGTGTTCCCGCATAATGAGTTTCGGCAACACTCATAAATCTGTCCGATTTATATTTATTATGTGTTTGCAAAATAAACGATAATGCATTCAATGTTATTGAACACAATATCAAATAAATGCCTTTTAATGTTGTCATATTAAAAATGTTTATGTAAATCTATCTACTATATAATAAAATTATTCAAACTTTCGTGAGACGGGCCGCGTCCGCGAAATAATACCAGTACCACTCATCCTGATGAAGGGCCCCGAAGGGCTCGAAACTAGTCGGTGCCGCCACCGGACGAATATACGTGAGTGTTTAGCCGTTTTTATATCAGTTTACGATATAATATTTTAGAACCTTAGTTATAATTATGATTAACACCTTTCACACAGTCTTTTCGTACACAAGGCTTTAAAACTAATATTGTATCATTGCGTTACGCGCGCTTCGTACATACAACTCTGAGTCGACGCTATGAGTCGTCTATTCGGCCAGTACAGGCATAGCGACTACATGACAGCTGTATAGATTTATTCCACCATCTTGAAAATTTCAGTAACTTCTCTCTCTACGATCTTGACATACACTGCGAGCGACTGCATTTAGCGGCTACACGAAGACCTTGAATGCTCAAAGAATAAAATGTCGGCTACGCGTGTCTGTATACGAAGCTCTATGATATTGTATTGCGTAATTTGCTTCGCGACTACAATCGCTGGGTTGCGAAGATTTACGTTACCTTGTTTACGAAGGACCTTATAGTTTATTTCCCAAAATAACCGTTTACTTTCACTGCCGAAACACATTTTAATACTGGTTTTAAATATATTGTACTCTTTGTCCTTCTTAAAAAATGAGACCAAAAAGAATCTGATTTTATTATAAAACGCTGGAAAACCACATTAAGAAATGTCACTACGAAGAAGATTAAAAAATAATAAATAGGATTTTTTCAAGTTCATAATACAAATATTTTTATATATACATTGAATTGTAATTTGCGTAAAAGGAATCAGTCGCATGAGCATTGCATCCTTCATATATAATACGCTGAAACGTCCCAGAGCTTTAAGCTCAAGTAATCTGATTATACGTGCCCGTATGAGCTTAGGACTCTTAGGCGGCTCACAATACTATTCAAATCGTTTTTGAATTTAAAATAACTAGGAATTGCATAACAAACATATCTTATTTTAATATTTTTTTTTAAATATTGTTGAAGAAAATTATAACATTAAGACACACGTAGCTTTAACTAAAGCACCTACAATTTCATATTTGTACCAAGATTCCAGTTAAACAGGTCATATAAATGGTTACTTGCAAAGATGCAAAGCAGAATATAGTATTATATTTTTTTTTAATCTTAGCAGGCCTAGCAATAATATTTGTGACAATAGCCATCGTATCGTCATCGTCAATTATGTAAAAAAAATATATGATATCTCTGTGTACTTTACGCTCGATAAACAACGCAGATATGCTGCACAAATTTGAATACAAATTTTGTCGATGTCTATACGATTGCCAGAAATATTCGTGCTAGGTACAGAACTCAATTTTAGATGTAACGGGGCGTACAAATACGGAGGGCACAGATGACCTTGAGATATTTGAAAAGACGTATGTTCTGTAATAAATATTTCTAAGCACGGTACTATTAGTCAGTGATTTTCCATATGTCCTTACTAATGAATTCCCAACATATTTCTTGTCGAGTCCAAAGTATTTCGGTAATTAGGAATGACTCTGAGTAGTACAAGATTGCTGTGAGCTACTTGAGCTTAATCTTAAAGCGGCCGAGCTGAAACCGAGCGCGTGGACAAAGAGG